GGGCGGATTCAGGATTCCTCCTAGGAGGGGTGCACCACTCAGGAATGGCATAACTGACTGGTGAGGTAAACAAATTTTAAAAGTGAATACAAAGAAGAAGGCTTCATCTCAGGAGGGTGGGGTGCATACCTCCTGTACCCTCCCCCTAGATCCACCTCTGTAGTGCATCAATTGACATAAATAAAATCATTATTTTCTATTCACCAGTACAGCTAGAGTCACAAAGAAGAGTTTTAAAACTTTTTGTGGTTTTTATTGAATTTGCCCAATTGAGCTCTTGCACAATCACAAACACAAAGAGAGTTTCCAAGTTTTAAAGAATTCTTAGGTTATGCTGATTTGTTTTTTTTTTTACCAAGCACTCATTCCTGGCTGGATTTCCAGGGATCCTCAAGCGCCCCTTACCAAGAGAATTTCTAGTATACCATCCATCAGGGGGAGGGGGAGTAATGTTTCTGGAATAACAAACATTGGGTTTGCTGGCAGCTCACTGCAAACTTGATGGTAAATTTTCAAAGAACTGCACATGTTTACTCATAAAAACTGATTTTGTTTGTGAAAAATAGAAACAACTTAATAAGGCATTATATCATGGGTGACAAATTACTCTTAAATTCTGGTGTGAAATTTCAATGTTAATTTATCATAATTTTCACATTCAAGTGAAATTAAGAAGTAATTTCACTTGCGTTTTGCCAGAATTAAAATGATTTTCCTCGCCTCAGTAAAGGGGCAGGAAATTATTAGAATTTTCACAAAACGCGCATGAAATTATTTCTTAATTTCACTTGTCACCATTTTATAACCCAAACTTATTCACCTTCAGCATAGCAATCCAAGACACATTGTCATGTTCTTCATCTACACCATCAAAAGGCTGATAAGCAAACACACTGTTATAGTGTAACAAGAAGAGTCGCAGAGCGTCAAGATCTGACTTATCAACCAAACCATCAAACACTGCAATCTCTCGACCCTGGCTGTCATGGAACCTTCTTGTCTCATATTTACTGAAGTCCAGAAGTGGGATATCTCCCTCGTCTGAGAGGGCGAAACCTGAGGCATCCTGCTTTTCTGATTTCTCAATTAACTTCTGTTGGAATAAAGAGGGGAAAAAGTCTCAAAAATTAATAATCATGGGATGATAATATTAATTTTGTAAACTAGCTTGTGATGTGGTAATCAGTATCTTTCTATTTTCAAGAGTACAATAGGCCCTGAAGCTTGAGGGATATGATATCATAGAGGAACAACCATGAGAAGGTGGAAGAGAGGGGAGATAAATAAGTTCTAAGGGGGGGAACTCCCATATAAAAAAGGATGGGGGTGCTTGTCATACCTTTTAGGGTTTAGGGTTTACAAAACTGTAGTTTAAATGTCTTTACTAACAGATCTAAAGACTAACAAAGCCAGTGACATTGGACTATTTAAGGCCATTTTATTTAATCCCATTGACAGAAGTGTACCTTTGTTTCTGAAATTGCTTGCTCTGCTTTCTCTTTTGATGTTGTGATTCTTACAAGAATATCAAACTGAGCTTGCACATAGGACATTGCAGGGGGCTTGAATATGAAAGGAACTGTGGCATTCCACACGACCATCCGTCCCATCTTAGGATATACAGCTGCAAGAATTTCTCCATTGTCTTTGTAAAATATAGCCTCTCCATAATCATTTCTCTTGAAGTCCTTGTTCAGAGATATTCTGATTACAAGTTCATCTTTATCTACATCATTCCCTGTACAAAAAAATAAATAAATAAATAACATAATAAAAAAATAAAAAATAAAAAAAATGAATTCAAATGTTGTCATTTATAGTGGTCAAATATGCACTAAGCTACATCTAGCCAGTTCACGGGCATGCCACTTAAACTGAAAGAAACAAATATATCAACTAAACATAATAGGCTTAAAAATCCCAACTGGCGGTATGCAGACTAGTTGGCTATTTACAAGACAGCATGATCGAGGAGTTGAACCATGGTCTATCGAGAAACAACTCTAGCTAAGTGTTCAAAGTAAGACTTCAACCAGCGAGCTCTGGATTTGAAGTCCAGTGCCCTAACAGTGAAATGTGAAATGTATATTAGCAACTGTTTATTTAAGAAAACAAAGAAAAGAATTTGTCTCCTATCAGTAAAATGTAAAATTGACAGTGGAGACTAAGGAGTAGCAAGAATGTGGGGATGTAGTCTAGAAGTACCATGATCTTTCTGCTCAAAAATTGGTTCAAACAGATAATTGACCTCCATTACATGATGTCTTAGCTGCAGGTTAGCTACATTGTGCAGGGTGCATAATGACTTTTTAGTTCTTGTCTGAAGTAGGATATAACACAGTTTATTATATGGCTAACTCTGTAAGTGGGCAATACCATGTGACACTAAATTTTTGCGGGAGTTTATTTTGGCAAATTGGTGGTTTTTTACTTTGCGGGAAATAAATAGATTTTTACCATAATCATATAAAAGACTGGTTTTTCTTCCTAGGTACCAATTTTTGCGATTTCTGGGAAATATTTAATTGAAATTACAACATTGTTGCATTTTTCATTTAACCATATGCAATTGACTAGTGAAATAACACGCAGAGATTTAAAACACAGTACTCCGTATCACTCAATCACAGTTACATCATGCTCTTGTGTGGAATTGTAGAATGCTCTTCTCAATGGACTACCTTCTAATGATCCTATAAACCCATACAATAAATCCTTTATTGACCAAGCTTGATTGGTTAAGATGGTTGGATATTGGCCTTGTTCTTTTTTGCGAGTTTATGGACCTTGACTCTGTCTTGATCCATAAACAAGCAAAAAAAAACAAATATATTGGCCAATATCCAGCCATCTTGACCTCGTGCTTGGTCAATAACCCAAATATCATAAAAGGTATATATTTTGGNGTGATACCCCCTCGCCCCCGCCTTTTTTGGGGGGCTCTCGCCGTTTTCGTGCTGCTTCCAACTATTAACCCGAAAACTCGGAAGAGGTTAGGTTGTATTTTCCTCCTTGATTCAAGTCAGTTAAGGACATAGAGGCGTTAATACAATCACTTCTCGCTCCCCAGGCCGCCACTCATTCTCAAAAATAGTCTATTTCTAGATCACAAGACAAGTTGCTAGGGTAAGCTTTGCCTGCCTGAGGAGAGAGAGCCTGGGATCGAGGTTACCAAACTCACTGGAATCAAAATAAAATCGTAACGAGCACACCAGTACAATGTTGCCAGGCGTTTATTTTCATTTCCAAGCTTCTTGCACCAGGCGATACCCCGTTCATACTCACAGAAGGTACGAGACTTAATGGAAGCCCTGCAACCCGCTCTAACATGCTTCAAACAGCAGACATCAGGGCATGGGTTTACAACAGTACTACCCGTATATTATATCTCAATCACAACATCTTGAACTTAAACAACAAATATATGATTAACATCAACTATATTGAAGGTCTCTTTCCCTGTCGTGACTTACATTGTCACGAAATATTCTCTTTTCCGAGTGAAGCGTTACGTAACAAGTGAAGTGACGATTGCTAAGAGATACTACATACTTTGATATTAGGATATCATTAAATTTAACTACATCAATTCTTATAAAATCTGAGTTTATATATCAAACACTACTTCCTATTTGTAAATTTAATAACAACAACGGGATGAAAGTTGCTGACTGCCAAATTGTGCGCCTTGCGTCTAAGCCTTGCACTGTTTCTTGTCCAATCTGTTCAAGACTTGGACTTCCATCAAGTACAGTTTAATTCCTTTGACATGAAACTACTTGCTGCGGACCAACTGAGAAAATAGCTGCTTAAAGAAGATTTTAGCGACACGGTAAAAATTAGTTTCAAAAATAGCTTGGAAATTCCATCTGTATTCTGCGTACTAAAAATAGGAGTAATTTCTTTTTATATTATAAGCGTAATATCTTGTTTTCAAGGGTCTACAAAAGAGATCATGATGTAACGCTTTCCCCATGTCACGGGCAATCCTTCGTGGTAATGCGTGAGCCGTCCTGGGTGCATGAAAGACCAGCCTCGGCGAGTTTCCGTGACTTGACAGTTGTAACGCAAAAATCTGCATCCCCCGCCCTAAGAACAGAAGAAACAATTATCAAACAAACATCGAACAAGAAAAAAAATGAACACAGCAACGTCGGTTTTATGAACTCGCTAAAAACGTTATATCTAAAGGACCGACCGTTCCCATTTATTTCATTCAACTTACCGCAGTTCATAATATATTACGCAGCAATGAGACGCTCGTATATAATCAAGGCTCCGTATTTTTATTTTAATGGAGAAAGCGCGCGAAAAGTGGCGACAACCATTCCGCTTTTCACTGGCTAAGATAACGCAGCCTCCATTCTGATTGGCCAAGCCTTTCGCATGTCTTTTTGCGTGAAAACCCACTGAGAAACACTTCGAAAACGTTCAGATTTGGTTCAAATGATTGCTGTTGACTTACGCTTTGTTGAGCAGTGGTACTTACTCCGTGGTCAATCCCTGGCCTAGTCAAAGCAATGTTGATTGTGTACGTTGAAGAGTCATGATGTGGTCTGAGATAGTACTGTCGGTTAGGATCGTACTTTACAACAAAGTTCATGACGGAACGAGCCTGAACAGAACAGAAACAAAAAAGACAAAAGATTAAAAACAAGAAATCGTTGGAGTACATTCTGACCAGTGTCGTTTCCGGCGAATCTTCGTAAAGGACCCGAAGCGTTTCCGACTATTGAATCTACATCAGCTTGTCGCCGACAGTAAACGTCATCAAAATCTTCGGGCTACGAACGTAATTTCGGCTCTCCCTGTTAGAGTCTGACGCTTATTATTAAGAGAGTTTGAGGTTTGCGAGAAAACGCTGCAACGACACATCAAAGTACCAGGCGACAAAACTTCGCAATAGACTAGATAACGTCACGAATTTCTTAAATTTTGACACAAATATTTAAGATGATTTTTCGGGTTTATTCGTACCTCAGAGTTGTAACCAGGGTACAGTCTGGCGTTGACAGGTACAATGAACTCTTTGAGAAAGTGAAGCCAGTGTCTCTCATAGCCGATCTGCGGAGACAAAAAACAAGCAAATAAACAAACTCTTGGTACGATCAATTCTCCACTGAGCACGGCGTTACTACAGTATACTACACTGCTAAGGTGAACCGTGATGACAAGAAGAACTCACAGCAATGAAGGTCATAGCATATAACACATCTCTTTCACCAATCATGACAAAGGTGCTTTTTTAACAATCAATCAGGAACAAACATTAAACCAATCTTAGCTTGACTTACGCACGTTTTCCCGCGCATAGCACAGGCCAGCCAAGAAGAGCAGCTACCGACAGTGATGAAGGTTACAAC